AAGGCTGAGGCAAGAGAATCGCTTAAGCCCAAGAGTTTGAGGTTGCTGTGAGCTATGACAGCACAGCACTCTACCGAGTGACATAATGATACTCTGTCTCCAAAAAAAAAAAAAAAAAGAATGTTAGGTAAAAGAGTGCTTGGATAGATGTGGTGGCTCATGCTTATAAACCCAAACTTTGGGAGGCAGAGAAAGGAGGACTGCTAGAAGCCAAAAGTTCAAGACCAGGCCAAGCAACATAGAAAGACTCCATCTCTACAAAAATTTAAAGATTAGTTGGATGTGGTGGTGCATACCTGCAGTCCTAACTACATGAAAGGCTAAGGCGGAAAGATTTCTTGAGCCTAGTGTTACACTGAGCTATGATGACGTCACTGCACTACAGTGTGGGCACCAGAACCAGACCTTGTCTCAAACAAAAAGACACCAAACAATCAAAAAGACAAATGCTAGCACTCTGGGAAGCCAAGGCAGGAGGATCACTTGAGCTTAGGCGTTTGAGACCAGCCTGAGCAAAAGGGAGACCCAATTTCTACTAAAAATAAAAACTTAGGTCTGGTGTAGTAGTTCATGCCTGTAATCCCAGTTCTCCAGGAGGCTAAGGCAGGTGGGACTGCTTGATTTTAGGAGTTCAAGACCAGCCTAAGTAAGAGCAAGACCCTATCTCTACTAAAAACAGAAAAACTAGCCAGGCGTTGTGGTGGGCACCTGTAGTCCAAGCTACTTGGGAGGCTGAGGCAAGAGGATCATTCAAACCCAGGAGTTTGAGGTTGCTGTAAGCTATGATACCAAATCCAAGTGACAGAGTGAGACTCTGTTGCCAAACCAACAAATGAAACAGTGGGAGAGCTTATTGAGCACTGGCAAGGAATATCTACACGTGGGCTCTGCTGTCCTCTAGTGGAATGTTAAATGTAGCGCACATAGCATTGAAGAAAATAGTCTCATCTGTATACAATAATACTTTTTTACTTATTTCCTATGCGTTTTAAAAACTAAGCACCCAATCACTCATCTGGCCTTATTAAAAGTTTTTCCCCCCAAACTTGAAGAGATCTTGGGAATAAGTTTATTTAATCTTAGTTTTATTTTTGCCTTTTTAAAAATATATTTTAAATGGTACGATACACAGTAAGCTTTTGTGACTTCTTTCACTGACCACATTTCTTTCTAAGTTCATTCACAAAGCATGCAACAGTACTTCATTCCATTTTATTGCTGAACAATATTTCACCAAATAGATATTTTACGTTTTATTTTTCCATTCAGCAGCTGATGGACATCTGGGTTGTTTCCATATTTTGGTTATTGAGAATAATGTTGCTATGAACATTCGTGTAACATTTTTATTCGTTTGCTTGGGAAGAAAGTTTGCCCAAGGTCTCAAAGCAATTCAGGGCCACATCTCCAGCCCCAATCTAGCACTCTTAGTATTATACATATTGGATAACCATTAAGACCCTGTTGTGGCTCGGCGCCTATAGCTCAACCGGCTAAGGCGTCAGCCACGTACACCTAAGGTGGCGGGTTCGAATCCCCAGCCCGGACCCGCCAAACAACAATGACGGCTGCAACCAAAAAATAGCCGGGCGTTGTGGCGGGCGCCTGTGGTCCCAGCTACTTGGGAGGTGGAGGCAGGAGACTCGCTTGAGCCCAGGAGTTGGAGGTTGCTGTGAGCTGTAATGCCACA